TAAGGGTGAAAATAAAAAAATAAATTTTATTATTTTAATAAATTAATTTTTTCATAATTATCAATAAATTAATGAAATAATTAAATTCAACTAAAAAATATATAAAATTTTAATCACAAATCTCTTTATTATAAATTCTTACAAAAAATTAACTATTAAAAAATTATAAAAGAACTTGGTCCTTCAGACCAAGTGGCTCTAATCACGTTTGTAAGGTTCATATCCCTTTCTTCAGGTAACAGTTCGAGCCGGTTTATGACAAAAATATTAAAAAAAAAATTATAAAAATAACTTTTTAATATTCTAAATTTAATTCCAAATTTTAGTTCAAAAGTTTTCCCCGTCCTGTATGGTATATCATTATCCATGTTATTAACATTGCGTGGAAAACCAACGATTTGTTGGGCTCAGTGGAAGGAGATCGGTTTCCCTTAAGTAAGGTTTCAAGTTCAAGTCTTGTGAATGGAGAAACAGGCGCTGAGAGAGCTTCCCCCTAATGGGGTCCGACGTGGCTCAATTCCAAATTAATCGAAACTTAAAGTGATTACTGGACACTGAGAGGTTAATACCAAAAACATTACGTGGAAAAAATAAACAAGACCAAGGCGAGAGACGACTTGACCCAAACTTTATTTCTAAAATTTGTGTCCATATTAGTAATAAAGGATGTACGTAAAGTTGACGTGGACGGCTTGACAGTAAGACTTATGGGTTAGCCCCTCTTTTAAGACTTAAGTAAAAGGACAAACAAGAGTAATGATGGAGGAAACGAAATTAGGGATGACAGGTTATGGGAAGAAGTCAAATTAATAATTACATCACGAATTTTGCATAACATGTCGTACTCATTTCATCCTCCGTTTTCGTTCCCTCCATCATTACTCGGGCAAAACAAATGCGTTATTGATGTGGAGTGATAGACATGACAATACGTAATAACGTTCTGGTCGTGTCGGTACACTTTTGAGTCTTTACCTGGTACACAATTCCACCGTTGATTTTATTTTATTTTATTTTTTTTATAGGATCCATTGATTTTAGTTGAATTAGTTTTTTATATTTAATGAAATAAAAATATA